CTCAGGAACTTGGTGTGCCCCAGTACCTTTTGGTGAAACTGGTTTGGCTGAAATCATTTTACAGATGGAAAACTAAGGCCCCAATAATTGAAGGTACTCACTCAAGTAGATGAATCTAGTGAGATTGCAGATCGACTCTTAGATCATTGTTCTTCCTTTCTGTTGACAAAAGAAGGGCATTTAGTGGCTTAGGGGGCATAGATTTAAATACAATAGGATGTAAGTATGATTTTCTTTGTCATCTTTTAAGATTTATTGAAGCTTAATGGCTAGTCCAAGGGCTCCAGGTCTAACCAAATAAGCCAGTGCAAGTGTTAGTCCCTTCAGCCACCTTGCCGGCAGGTGGATTAGAGAGCAACTCTAGAAAGGAAGTTAAGGATTGCTTGAATCTGTTCTGTTGTCTCCCCCACTAAAGTCAGGGAAAACAGGATCTTTGTCCTCAGACTTTAGCTGTCGTTGCCTGCGAAGTACAGACTTAATTCCATTCTCTGGATGACTTGTTAAATGGGTGTGAGCTGTGTAGGCTGCTTTTGAAGGTTTTGTTTTTCTGCAGTGAAATGAAATAATAAAACTGTTTTCTTCCTTAGAATCAGATTAATGTCTAAGAGTTGGAGATTCACGAGAAACACATTCTTAGCAAAACTTAGTTCCTGCACTGCCTTAAAACAGTCAATTTCCAAATATAGTACCAATATGTACCAGCAGTTGTGGGAGAATGGAAAGGGAGCCTCAATTAACTTAATTTAGACTCTTAACTGAATCAAAACTGCCAAATTCCTGGTAGGAAAACTTAGCATCTTACATGGAGGTATGATACAGGTTTTAAGTAAAGATTTTGTTAGGTTATAGCCTAAAGTCGTTAGACTTGTCCCCTGACAGTTTGTAAGTACCATGTGCCCGGGTGAAAGATCAAGGAAGCAGGAGCAGCGGCGGCATTTGGTTAATGCGGGGACACTTTGGGTAATCGTGTGAACAGTTACGTGAAAGACTTGAACTGCACTTTGACGAGTAGGCATAACTCACTTACGTTCTTTGATTTAGAAAAAAAAAAAGTTATGCCTTATAAAAAAAAATTGCTGTTTAATGTTTCTTTTTTTGTTAAAATATAGGATTTAACATGGTTCCTTATTAAAAAGAAAAGGCATTTCAGGAATATAGTAGCTTATATTACTTACATGTTGAATGTTTTCTATTGCAAAGATAAATGGTTGATCATAGTTTTGCCAGGCTATTTTGACAAAACCAGTGGTATGCATTCTTCTCTCCTTCTTGCCTCCTTCCCCCTCCCCTTCTCTCCCCCATCCAGTCCCCCACTCCCCCCGCCGCCCCAGCATAACTGGCATGGTTAATAACAAGTCTTGGAAAAAGAAAGAACTTCCTGATCATAACTGACAAGAAGTTTAGCTACAATTTTGTGCTTGAAAAACTGTTGAGAAAATTTTGGTAAGCACTAAGTGCTTTTCTGGAAGGAATGAGAGGATGTTATGACGTAGGCTACGGATGGAGCTAGAGGTGGTAAGAATACTTAAGAGAAGGAAGGTCAGTAAGTAGTGTGGAACATGAGAACTGATCTGGGTCTATCCTTTTGCCCTTTTTAGAGGCCTGAAAAGTTTTTTAAAATAGTACTGATACCTTTTATGCCTGAATGCTAAATACGGAACGTACTTCTTCTTATTTAAAAAAAAATTCAGGGGCACCTGTGTGGCTCAGTTGGTGAAGCGTCTGCCTTCCTCAGGTCATGATCCCAGGGTCCTGGGATCCAGCTCAGGAGGGAGCCTACTTCTCCCTCTCTCTGCTGCTCCCCCTGCTTATGCTCTCTTGCTTTCTATCAAATAAATAAAATCTTTTTAAAAAATTCAAGAGTAGATGAGATAATTGACAACATTTTTATGAATTTTAGCAAGTGAGTCCAGGTAGTAATGTTACTGATGTTGTAACGAGAAACCTGTTTGCATTTGAAAAGCCAGATGTTGGGGCACCTGGGTGGCTCAGTGGGTTGAAGCCTCTGCTTTCGGCTCAGGTCATGATCCCAGCGTCCTGGGATCGAGCCCCGCATCGGGCTCTCTGCTTAGCGGGGAGCCTGCTTCCTCCTCTCTCTCTGCCTGTCTCTCTGCCTACTTGTGATCTCTGTCAAATAAATAAATAAAATCTTAAAAAAAAAAAGAAAGAAAAGCCAGATGTCAGGGAGGTTGTTCCTATTTTCAACTGTATTAAATCAACATGTCTTAGAAGTAGTCTTTAAAATAGATAAAATAGATAAAACCTGTGGCTATATTTATTTCCAGTTGTTTCTAGAATGATGAAGTATATTCCTGTCTGTAAAATCAGTAAGATGTTTTGTAAACATATTAAGTTCTTTATTTCTCAACATTTTGCCTAAATATCTAAAATAGGACCTTTCCCTTAAACTTACTAACTTAACTATGCCCATAACATAATATTTTTTAAGTAGCCATATTAGTATAACTATGTTAGAAAAGTGGTGTTAATGTGGACTATAGACTGTGGCCATACTCTTTTTTGTTGTTGTAACAGCATCATTGAGCCATTTTTATACTGATCAGACATTCTGATGGTATCTGTTAAAAGGCATCAGAGTGTATGTACAAATATATTTTGTAATTAATTTGCTTTTTTATAGTTCTTTTTCAAAGTATTACCATTTGTGTTGAATATAATATGTGTCATTTCACAATGAAAATTTACTAACTATTTAACTGAAGGAAACTAGCTGTGGGTTTTCTGGTGTACTAATCGAGAAATAGCATTTTTGGACTTTTTCATGTCCTTGGAGTAGGAGAGTGAATGTGCACCTTGTGATTTATTATTCTGTTTTTACTGGTTTGGGAATTGAGAACTTCTACTTATGTACTTCATGTTCTGGCAGCTTCAAGCAGCATAGGAATTTTTAGGTCTATTTTGAAAAAGCTGTGACAGGAATGTTACATACACATGTGACAAAGGTGTGTGTCAGTTACTGGATCCACAGGGAGACCCTCATTTTCTTGGAGCGTAATCATGTGTTTCTCTTGATTGTTATTTAAAGTCAAGTGATTTCCATCCTAACTGACACATCAGTTACTACTGAACCAGACTACTTCTAAGTCCTAAAGTATAATGTGTACCGCGTCATTAATATGCACCTAGTGGCCAGAAACCGGGCAAGAGCCTATTTCTCATTTTGAGATAAAAATTCTCCATACCTCATTTTTCTCCACTGTTAAAACTGGCTAGTCTTTCAGTTCTTTCTTTTTAGTCCTGGGAGGAAGGGTAGGGATAGTCTTGTGTTGGGCTACTGTGAAAATAATCCAGGATCACAAGGTTGCCCTTTAAATTTCAACAGAATTAATTTGTTACATATCAGCATTATGAAAACTTAAAATTTTGGTGTATCTTGCACTTTCAGAAAGTTCTCTTAACAGTTAATATAATCAAATTGTATATTGATATTTAAATTAAGAAAAAGTGTCCTTAAGTAACGGGACCTGAATGATAGTAGTTAATTATTTAATTACATGGCTTTGGTGTGCACTAGTAACATTTTACAAGTATATTTGCTTTAGCTTTGTGGGGAGGAAGTGTCTGATATAGTTTTTAAACTTTATTATAGAAAACTAGATGGGGCGCCTGGGTGGCTCAGTGGGTTAGGCCACTGCCTTCGGCTCGGGTCATGATCTCAGAGTCCTGGGATCAAGCCCCGCATCGGGCTCTCTGCTCTCTAGGGGAGCCTGCTTCCTCCTCTCTCTCTGCCTGCCTCTCTGCCTGCTTGTGATCTCTCTGTCAAATAAATAAATAAAATCTTTAAAAAAAAAAAAAAAGAAAGAAAAGAAAACTAGAAATATTCACAAAGTAGAAAGAGAAGTATAATGAATCTGCATATATTCGTCTCCTGTCCTCACCAGTTTAATATAATGGCCAGTCTTGTTTGAGCTACACACTATCCTACAATAGTTCCCTCCTGACAGCCCCCAGTGATTTTGAAGGAAATCCCAGACATCATGTAATTTCATTGAGAAATATTTCAATGTGTATCTCTAAAAGAGAATCAAATTATTTGTATCCCCTGTGAATACTCGCTAGCTTTGTTGTGGAGAGGAAGTTCAAGAGTGCTTGGAAACAAGCCTGTTACTGCATTTTATTGTAGTTATTTTGCATTTAGAAAGATCAAGAGTTTATACTACTTGGGTATTTTACTACTCCAGTAACTCTCAAAGGATTTGAAATGCTGATTTTATAAATAACAGCTAAAAAACATTGTGAATTTTCATCACGAATGTATGTGGCGTTATGTGGCAGTCCTCACCCCAGGGCTGACCTGCGGTTTGCTTTGTCATTTGTTCCTGGCTCCTCCTTACCCTGCCGAGATGTATGTTTCTTTATTTAAATGCTGAGCAATGGCATGTATAACACTTAGTTTCAGATGAAATTCTGTAAGCCTTGGCATGTGTCAGAGAAGGAGATAGTAGAGAGAGCGAGGAGGCATGTGTGCTGACAGAGAACAGGGTGAACGCTGTGGCCAGGCCCCAGAGTGGGCGGGACTCTCCTCCTTTCACTCTTGCTCCCCAGCCTCCTTGCCTTGTCTTGACTTTTTATTTCTTTTCTTGGTTCCCCTTTGGTTTCTATCTTTGCCTTCTCTTGGCCTTTACTTAATTTTGCCTGTGGCATTCATTGTCAGGAAGATTGCTGTGGAGGATGTGATATTATGTAGGGGTTGTAAGATGAAACCTTAAAAAAGGAAAGCTTTTAAGACTAATTTGTTGGGCTTTAATTCATTTTTATACAGATTTTATTTAATTCAAATAGCTGGATACCAACTGTGTTTTCTCTACTCTGTGGATGAACTACACAATAGATCAAAAATGTTAATTTTGCAGACTTTGAAGTTTACTTTAGATGCTGTTATTGAAAAGATATGTAATAATAATTTTTCCTTTTTTGTTGTCTTTTGTTGCGCATTTCTTGGATGAAACTGATCCTGATATTCAAACGTGACTCTGCAGTTTACAAGGTTCCTTTGCAGCTCCCCTCTGGAGGTAAGAGTTTACTCCCTGATGTTAATACTAGGATCACTAATGGGACATCATTATTGGCATGTTTTGTTAGGCCCTTATTGGTAATTTAGAGGTGATCATTTTGTTGTAGCGCATACTCTTCAATAAGGGTAATGAGATGAATACGGACTTTTTTTAGAATAAGAATTCCTGTAAGAAATCAGTCCTGCGTTGTAAAGAGCCTTACTGTATCTGTTTCATTCGCAACTGTTGACACTAGCGGAGTTGTCTTAACTGCCCTGGCATTAACTGAGAGCTGGAGGAGTTGTGGGGGGCGTTGGGGAGGGGTGCTATTGTCAGGCAAGTTTCTGTTGGTTTGAGAGCACTTTTTCAAACCCCGGAATTGATAAGCGAAGAACAAAGGACTTACCTGTTACTGAGCCTTTCTTAAACACAGACATGCTCCCTTCCTCTGTCTCCCTCCCCAACTTCTCTCCTCTCCTTTCCCTTCCCCCTCTCCCAGTGCACTGCCACCTTGAGTCCTCATACTCATTCTGCAGTGTAGAGCTGAGTTTCCAGTGATAACACTGTGGTATAAAGATATTTAGGAAAAGCACCTGACTTGTGAGTAGACACAAGATGGCTAAGGCTTGGAGGATGGAGGAGGCAGCAGAGTGTGTGGCGAGATGCTCGCTCTCAGAAGCAAAGTTGGGTTTCAGAGCATTCCTTCCCTTACTGCCACACCGGGCAAATAGCAACTTCCCTGCACCTGGATTTTCTTATCTTTAAAACGCAGGTGATAATTCCTACCTGTCCAATGAAGCAGTGGACATAGCAGCATTTTTTTTTAAAAGATTTTATTTATTTATTTGACAGAGAGAGAGATCACAAGCAGGCAGAGAGGCAGGCAGAGAAGGGGGGGGGGAAGCAGGCTCCCCGCCGAGCAGAGAGCCCGATGCGGGGCTCGATCCCAGGACCCTGGGATCATGACCTGAGCCGAAGGCAGAGGCTTTAACCCACTGAGCCACCCAGGCGCCCCCATAGCAGCATTTTTAAAGTGCTACTCAGGGACACCTGGGTAGCTGAGGCTCAGGTCTTGATCCCAGGGTCATGAGTTCAAGTGAGTTTAGTAAATAAAGTGCTACTCAAACCTTAGTAATATTTCGTATTTTCCTCTTGGGCTGTACTGCAGCCCCACACAGTAAGACGCTGTTCTCTGCCTTTCCTTTGTTCTTTCTTCTGCTTCTGTTTATATTGCCTTTATGTTCCCTTCCCCTGTTCCCAACTTGTCCAAATCCTGTCCATCTTCAGGTTGAGCCTTCACACTTTGTCCACTGCCCGGCCCTTCTGTACCTCTGCACACAGAGGCAGTTGTTCCCTTTTCTGCTTCTGTGACACTGTGTTCACGAAATTACTGAAGCATTGTGAGTATATGGTGTAGCCCACTCTGGCACACTGAATACTCTTAGAGACCAGTTTGATGATCGCCAGAGGAAACTGATGAGGCCAGAGAGTACCATCCAGGTTTGGTTACATTTTCTAAATAATCCAGCATCAAGGGGGAAACAAAGCTCTGTTTGGACAGACTATGGGCTTTGAAATGATGGCCCATGAGCAAGTCATTTCATCTTTTAGTTAATCTAAAAATGGAAATGGTGATATGTTATTAAAACAAAATGAAATAGTGTGTGACAAACACTGAGCACAATGCCTGTCACATAGAATTCTAAATAAAGTTTATTGCAAGAACAATCAAAAACCAAACCATAAGAAATTTGAAGACAGTATAAATTATATAATTTACTCTTTAGTTGATGAAGCATTTTATAAGTACAGTAGGATGGGAAGTATCACAAAGGAAAGGATTGAAAAATGAGATTTGCTTCTGTTAAAAATCCTTAATTTTGGGGGTGCCTGGGTGGCTTGGTTGTTAAGTGTCTGCCTTCAGCTCGGGTCATGATCCCGGAGTCCTGGGATTGAGCCCCACGTCTGGCTCCCTGCTCAGCTGGAAGCCTGCTTCTCCCTCTCCCACTGCCTGTGATCCCTCTCTCCCTGTGTCTTTCTCTGTCAAATAAATAAATAAACAAAATCTTAAAAAAAAATCCTTAATTTTGTTCATTGAAATGTATATAGATAGAAGGCAGTTTGGGGAAGGTGTGATAAGGTTATTATACTTAATGATCTCCTGGAATCAATTTTAAAATGTACTATTTTCTTTCCCATAACTTTTGGTTGTATTTTATGAGATAGTGTGGTGAAATACCAATGGTAATAAATGTTTTAAGAGTTTAACCTTGTAGGGGCACCTGGGTGGCTCAGTGGGTTGTAGCCTCTGCCTTCGGCTCAGGTCATGATCCTGGGGTCCTGGGATCGAGCCCCGCATCGGGCTCTCTGCTCAGCAGGGATCCTGCTTCCTCCTCTCTCTCTCTGCCTGCCTCTCTACCTACTTGTAATCTCTGTCTGTCAAATAAAATAAATAAAATCTTTAAAATAAAAAAAAAAGTTTAACCTTGTAAGTAATCAAAGAAGTATAGTTTAAAAGAACAGTGATAAATGCTTGCTTACCTATTTAGATATCTTTTTTTTTAATGAATACTTGGGAAGATCTGATAGGATGGAATGTTTTTAAACTTTGTCTTTTAGAGAAATCACTTTGGTCATCTATATAAATTCATATCTGTGGGTTGTATGCCCAAGTAGTTCTAGTCTAAGGATCACTGCCAGAGAAATAATCAGAAGTGAGGACAAAACTTGCATAAGTGTTTATTACAGCATGACTTGTAATGGCAAAAAAATTATAAACAGTCTAAATGTCCAGCAGTAGGAGAAGGTCAAGTAAATAATGGCACAGACAGCCATATTACAGACAGAACGCTTGACAGCGATTAAAGTGGGAATTATGCATATACATATTCATGAATGAACAAAACAGGGATAGAAGTAGGATGTAAAGTTATACATGTAAACCTCATTTTAAGAATAATTTAAGCATACAGAAATTAGTTACAAAGAAGATACACAAGATGTTAAATTGTTTGACCCTTTGCTTTTTCATGAAGGAGCCACAATGGGGAGAAGAGAAACCTTGGTAGGTTTTTAGCGGTGGCTTTTGTCATCAGTGTTTGGAAAGTACATCAGGCGAGTTTGATTGATGTGCAAACAGGGTCTAGTTTTGTAGGAAGAAGGTGGGTGGGGAGAAATTGCAGGAGCTTAGGTGAACAGAATGCCGCTTACGGTCTCAGGTTGGACTCTGATTTCAGCAAGAGCTCTGACGGGTAACCAGGAAGAATGGGTTTGAGCAGAAGACATTTAGGCCTGATTGGCTTACCTGGACGTGGCGTGAGTGAGGAGGCTGGCTGGAGCTTGCTGTCCGCAGCACTACTGGGGCAAAGATCCTTCTAAACCTCACCGATAAGACTTTTCTCAAATGTAAGCCCAGTGAGAGAGGACCCTGTTTTTCTTGTTTCGTCTGTGTGTCTGGTTTTGATATAGTAAATAGTACAGTGGAGGCTGTGGGTAAATATTGTTGAATGAATGGATGGATGAATGAATGAATGAGCTAGGTGGGGCTGAGGCTGCAAGGAACAGGGTTTTACCCATAATTTGGCAGCGGTCAGCTAAAAACACACAAGGCCTGATATTTGTGTTCCAATATGGTTAACAGTCTTTCTAGCAAGATTGTAGCTACTTAAGATCAGGATCTTTGTCTTTTTTCATCTTTGGACGCTCTCAGGTATAGATAGGGCTTGGAGTTTACCAACTGTACAGCTAGAGTTATACCAAACAAATTTTTTTTTTATTTTATCTGGCTAAATATTGAGAATCTATGTGCAAAAGCTTTACTCCTTGGTGAAAAGTAGAGGGAAAGTATGATCAAATTTTAGTGATAGCTTCTGTTGTTTTCTGTCTGATCTGCTTTCTCCACTTACTGATCTGGAGTTGTGTTTTACCTTGTTTAAATATCTCTTTTCTTACTGAGCTTATGGACTTGGGAAAGGAAAAAAAAGTCAAAATTACAGATAACCAATGTGCTTTTCTTTGCTTGAAGTATTTGGGATATACTTTGAGGGCTTTCTGTTGGAATTTTGCAGGGGCTTCCTGATGACCCAGTTAGTGGCTGCTACCCCAAATTTTCAACAGCACTGAGCTCAGGATTCTGTTCCTTTGCCACCTCACAGAGCCTGCGAGCCAAAGCAAAGCCAAGGCAGGAGAGTGTTAGGAGTCCCAAATGCTTAATTTTGCCATTGAGCTCATGTTTTAGCTGGAGAAGGAAAGTTACACATATGGTAAATACCCAAACACCTTCCTTAATTTTGATTAAAAGAAAAATCTGGTAGAGACCATAAAATGCATGAGTCTTGCAGTAGAAAATGAAGGATACTTTAAACTTCACTTTGTCCACAAAACTAGTATGAATGAGCCATGTCCCTTTGTTGTAAGTCCTAAACAGTTAACTGCCACATGAATCTAACGAAATTGTCAGGTTATAGTAATTACATCAGTAACTTGATCTGCTGTCATTTGAATGGAGCCATGTGTGGAGAGTCAGTTACTTCCCTCTGTGGGGCTGACCCTTTTACATTCCTGTAAGCTGAAGACTAATAGAGCTCATTAAGCTTTATGGGAAAAGAGCTTTTATCACCTCGTCAAGTCAGGCAACATATTTCCATTATATTCCTAATTTCATGTGGCTCTGTGGTTGCTGATGTGCACTCCCCTACTAGGTTCACATCGGCCCTCTTCCTTACAGACATTTTTATTGACATTTCTAAGTCTGAATTACATTTTGTGTGGCACCACCTACAGATGTCTTCAATTAAATGTAGGTAAATAAAGGGGATTATATATCAGAGGCGAAAAGATTCTTGAAATTCTCTTCCGAATCAGACTTTGCCAGCCAGTCCAGTAGGGTGCAGTCTTGTCGGCATTTCGGAGGGAGAGAGCGACAGGAGAGGTGTTTGTAAGACATTTCACCATGTGTGAATGTAGGTGGCTTAGGTTCTGTTAAGGTGTGTCCTTCCGATTTCATTTCAAATCAATTA